GTTGTGGTTGTTGCAGATCAGATTCGAAGAAATGAATTGGCGGTTGTGGTTGTTGTTGGTGGCGGCTACGACCGCAGTGGTGGAGTGGGACGAACTATGTAGCGGCTGCGGTGGTGGTGGATCTTGGTGATGGTGGTGTTTTGTGCAGCGATGATTTAACTGTGGTGGCGGATCTGGTGGTTTTTAGTGGTGGTTTTGGAAATGACGGTGTTACTACTGATTGTCGTGGTGTTTGGGTAGTGATGGTTGTCCTGGAGGCAGTGGCGATAGTACAAAGGTGGTGGTGGACCTGGTGAATTTGGTTTTCTGTGACTAAAAATATAATCTGTGACCAACCATTTGTTACATGTGATCTAAAAATTATATAATTTGTGATCGTGAAAAAATCTGTGACCAACTAATTTTGAAATATATGATCGTGTGACCTATAAATTTTGATCTGTGACCAACTAATTTTGAAATCTGTGACCAACGAATTAATTGTGACCTACAAAATTTTTGAGCTATGACCGTAAATTGTAAATCTGTGACCAGAATAGTCACCGGAATAGTCGCTTGAATTATTGCCAGAATCGGAGCAGTCGCCGGAGAAGAGTGGTGGTCGAAATGGTCGTCGGAATAGTCCCCGGAGCGGTATAGGTGGTGCATGAATGATGAGTTAATTATATTATATTAGAATTAAATATTTAATAATAAATTGATTTAATAATTTATTATTTCATAAATAAAAATTAGAAAAAACCTGATTTTTGAATTTTCAAGTTATAAACCTGATTTTTGAATTGATGTAAAGTATGCACTTTATTTATGAATTTTTCCCTAAAAATAATGTGGCCAAACAAGGCTATATTTGGACCAATTGGATTTTTGGTCCGCCACATGGGTCCTAAATTAGGACAATTCAAAAAGGGGAAAAATTCATTTCTCCTACTTTATCTTTACCCTATTTCAAAAATAACAAAACAACTTTCACATTTCAAAAATCAGATATTTTAACCTATACATACACACACACACACACACACACACATATATATATATATAAATATTTATCTATATATATAAATATATAAAAAGATATAAATAAATAAATAAAATAAAATATATATATAACCCACCCCCACTTCCACTGCACCCGCGACTATTCCGACGACCTCTTTGGTGCCGATTCCGGCGATCGTTCCGACGACTACTTCATTTCCGGTGACCGTTCAAGCGATTACTCCGATTCCGACGACTCAGGTCACAACTCAAGTCACAAATCACAGTGCAAGTCACAATTCAGAATTTTGTTCATAGTCACGAGTTATTTTCAAATGATCACAGCACAGGTAAAAAATTTTATAGGTCACAATTTGTTTATTGATCACAGATCAAAATTTTTGCATATCACAGATTATTTCGAAGTCACAAATCAATAATTTTATAGGTCACGGATTATTTTATTGATCACGGATCAAAAAATTACAGATCACAGATTAATTTTTAGTCACAAATTGTCGAAGTTTAAGGTCACTGATAGTCCATTATGCGGTCACAGCTAGTCTAATCTATGACCACCGTCAACAGTTGTGCCACCAGTTCAACGCTGTCTTTAATAGCATCACCACCACCATCCACCGCCACCACTACACCAACAGCACCCACGCAACCACAAGATCCACCACCATCACCCACCTCCACCGCAGCTAGAAACGCAACCACCACCACCACTACTTCGAACGAACCACAACCACCACACACAAAACACACAGCACACACAGATGAGCACATATACACCACAAATCTCCCATCATCACCACCGCAACTGTACCATCACCGCATAAACAAACATCAAACATCACCAACACCCACATTGCACCAACAATCANTGGAAGAGCCAGTAATTGGCAAGAAAGTAATCAAAGAGTTTTAAATGAACTGTTAGCAACAAAGGCAAATGGCCGATATTCGAGTCTTCAAAGCCAAGTTAATGGCTTTCAATAAAGAATGCAAAAAAAAAAAAAAAGAAAGAAGAAGGATGGATGGATCTGCACACGTCCACGATCTGTCTCGTTTTTTTTTGGCAAACGGATATGGATTTGGCAATCTGCACCACATATCCACGATCTGCACACATCCTTTAAGAATGGATATGCACACGTCCACCATCTTACACCACACCACACCGGCGGGCGACGCACTTCTGTGGGCAACGCGATATGTGGCTAAATCCATGTCTGATTGCCAAAAAAAACCAGTTATTGACGCAGTGGCTCCTCCGGCGGGCGACGCATTTCTCCTCTGGTAGGCATGGTGGCGATGCAGTGGAAATCTCAGTTGTTGACGGACTGCAGCATCTCCGTTTGGAAGGGAAGAAGACGGACTGCAGCATCTCCGTTCTCAACGGTGTCTACCTTCGTCGTCGGTCGTCGTAGATGAATGAGTCACCGGTTGTCGGAGATGAATGGGTCGCCGGTAAGGGGAACAAGAGAAGACAAAGACGGTGGGAGAGATAGGTACAGTAAGGGAGAAATGAATTTACGGTTTGTTTTTAAATGAAATTGATTAGGATGAAAATTATATAATTATAATCTGTATTTAAATAAAAATATCTGATTTTTGAACATTAAAATATAAAATCTGAATTTAGAATTTGAATATTCAAAAGCTGGGAATATTTTAATTTCCGCCTCCAAAAGTTTAGTTTTAAGGAATCAGCACTGCACATAATTGGAGGAAGATGCACCGCAGGTGCACCAAAAGCCAGTTTATCTTTACTCTACTGCTCGCTAGGCTTTCCAACAATTTGTCTTTACTCTCAATTTCGTTTTTGAGCAAGTATGGACGATTATACAAGAGAAATGATGGATTTGAAAACCCTGGTTACTCGTACACTCGAGAAGAAGGGCGTTCTCGCTAAGATCCGTGTTAGTTAGTATTTCCCTTTTCTTTTTCCGTTATTATAACTTTGATTCATTGTTGGCCTGTATGTGTTCAAGTAATGTGCCATGGATCGAGCCCATCGTTTGGCACGCAGGGGAATTAGGGTTTTACTAATTTTTATTTTCCCGTGAAATTGAGTGGGTTTTTGAGTACATAGATGGTTTTGCATTTACATATTGTCCTAAATTTCGCATTTGTCTGTTGTACTTTTTTGTTTGAAAACTTGTTTGGCACACACTTTTTCAAGTAAAAAATCAAATTTTTTTTTTTATGGAGAATGTGTGTTTGCAAATGATTTTGGAGAAAACTGATTTTAGAAATCTGTGCCAAACAAGCATTTATAGTGTTAACGTCCGCTAGTATTTGAATTTGGGATGCTTTAGAATTAAGAATTGAGAAAATTGAAGGGATGTAATGGTAGAATGTGAAACACTAATATACTGGCATGAATCAGTCCTGTCAATGGGGTATTAACTTGGTTGAGTTGGGGGACTCGAGACCTCCACTAATGGGGTAAAACGAGGATAAAAGTGATTGATAGAGGCACTTTCTTACTTGAACTGTGGAGTACACATCGTTTTGAAACTTCAGTCTCTCTATGTGTGTGTGGGTATTATCTGTTCGTGTAAATATGTGAAGGTTGTAGCTTTTGGTTTTAGCTATAATTCATTTATTGAAAATAATGTAAGGTATTGAAGACTTCTAGTTGATCAACTTTATCATTTATGTATAACATAAAATAATACAAATAGCTTTCGTTACACTGTTGACTGCAGGATTAGAGTGAAGAAGTGTTTGTATATATGGTTGAAGATATCTGGTGTCATTGCATAAATATTACTTAGGCTAAATCATATCATGTAAGTTTCAATTGTTTATTGATTGCAAGATTTGTATTTGATTAAAATATTCTCTGGATGTTACTTGGTACTTTTGACTTCTACTAAATGTTAGAAGGCTCAAATGATCTTATTTTGTTGTATATTTTCTCAATGTATTCTTATGTTTTCATAATTTTCTGTAATTTCTAAAATTATATCGAGCTTAATGTCAGAATCAGGGGCGGAGCCAGGATTGTTTCTCAGGGGGGGCACAACTTATCGATGTTGAACGTCGAGTTTTTGACATGGATGTAATGATAATAAAAATATAAAACAATAATACCACAATATTAAAAATGGCATAGTTTATAATCCATTCCAGAGAAAATATCTACTTTCAAATTATAGTTATTACTATTTACTTAAGTATTACCTGCCAATCTGGCTGCAGAGAAGATGAATTAGCAGCAAGTTTGCTAGAGAGTTTCCTTTTCAAGCCTTCAATCTCTGTGAAGTTGTTCAGAGAATCAGAGGTAAAAAGAACAAAAATGGATTGAATTAAGCAAAGTCGAGATAAACTGAAACAGAAGTAACAGTAGCATAGTTAAGAATTTTCCTTTTTTTCCTGTTCAGTAAGCAAGTAGAAAAATAGATCCGTGATGACCAGTAAAGAAAGAATAAAGCACCATACCATTCTCTCCTGGCTTCAATCTGCCACCTGGGAGTTTACAGAAAGTATTTCCAATTTGCAAAAGAAGAATGTGGGGATGATTATGTTCTTGAACCTGTAAGTTTGAACATATCCAATCATGAATCATTCAAAATAAATATTGCAAATTACTGGTCACAAACATTAAAGGTGGACAAGATAATGATGAAAGTGTAAATGGTTTTAGAGAGCACATAAAAGTTTCATAAATTTCATGGTAGCATCAAACAGCACGCCTGATAGGATTGGGGGAAAGTGAAACGAAAGGGAATAGATATGACTAACAGACTAAGTAGTAAGTTCAATTTCGTCCTTTCATAATGGAATAGGGGAAAACAGCCAATAGGAAAAGTGACACCATGTATTTGATTTGAATGAAGAAGAGTCACATTTCCTCTTTCCATTTCTACATGTAACATGAGACCAACTCAAACAGAGGCTAGCAGCCAGCAAAATTATAGTTCCAAATCAATGAAATCATCTCATTATATATCAAGCAAAAAACCAAACACCTGGTGGGCGCCTAAAGTTTAAATCAGAGGAATAAAAACTTGAAAGGCCAGACATATGCAACTATGCAAGAAGCCCTCAATACATTGTGGTAAAGAAAAGTATGAAGCCACAACCTGCAAAATTTGCACAGAAGTTATTATTTTAAATCTTAAAAAGACTGAAGGAAATAGACAAATTATACAGCCAAAATAGAAGTAAGGATTCTCAATAAGAGCAAGTTTCTGACAGAAAAATGTATCTCGATTTGATAATTGCCTTTTAATAAAGTGAAGATGTGATTGAGTTCATAATTTAAATTCCTGGAAACAAAGAGAACAAATTCCAGTCTATTAGTATTCTGGATGTCCTTTTATCATTTGCTAAGATTCTTCTTTTGTCTCTGGAGGCTGGAGCCAAGTGATGAGATGAGCAGTGAGCTAGAGTAATGACTACTCGAGGAAATTAGTCTGAAATTGCTTGGAAGAGTTTCCTAGAGTGGGGCGGAGGGGCCCCGGAGCGGAGGCTGCGCAAATGGAGAAGAAGGGTGGGAATTGGGAATGAAATGGAGAAATTGCAGACGGGTGGGAACTGGGAGTTCTGGCCATTCTGGGACTGGGAAGGTTCTAACATTTTTTTGGATTGGACTGGGCCTTCCTTCTTGGGCTGGAATTAACTTATAACTAAAAAAAAAATGTCAGAATGTATGTATTATCAAACTATTCTGTGATGTGGTGTAATTGGACGGTAGGTAGTGCAACTTAGAACTTGATTTTGCTGCACATAAGATCAAGTTTTTTAACATTGTTATGGTATTGGAAGGGAGTTTGTGTGTTTTGTGGTGGTTGTATCTGGGAAGTAATGCTTGCTCATAATTCTATGATGCATTGCAATTTTTATTTCCTTATAAAGTGTTATTCATTATTGTTGGGGTTTATGCTGATTAAATCCAAGGAAATTGAAAGTAGTGCATGTAATGCTGGTGAGTAGTCATTGTAACACTGAAAAATCTTGAAATTGGGATTGCTTATGCATTTACTCGATTTAGTACGGTATATTCTGGTTTTGGAAAAGCACGCCAGTTAAATGTTATTCTTAATTTACCAAAATATTCAAAATATTTATATATATATATCTCACCCCCAAAACTTGGGGTAGTCTGCCAATATGGTGGGTGTCAGAGATTCAAATGCTTCTTGCACTATTGATTGACCTTTCTGTTGTTCTCGTTTACTAGGCTGAGCTAAGAGCTAGTGTGTTTGAAGCAATCGAAGAGGAGGATAGGGTGATTGAGAATGATGAAGGTTTACCTCCGGCACTATTGGGTAGCTGCAATGATTGTGCAAAAGGACTTCATAACTCTCCTTCAGGTTTGATTTAATTCAGTTTCCCTTCTCTTTTTCTCTTTCATGACTCACTTTCAATGTGTGTAATCTTGCAGCACTACCCAATAGAAAACATTTGTAGTGATGTCAAAATTTATAAAAGCACTTGGATATAATCTTTCCACTCTAGCCCAGTAGAAAATAAGACTGATGACGTCAAAATCTATACTATTTTCAATTGACCATCACTTGATTTGTCTAGTGATTAGAAGATTTAGGCATATGCCTTTCAAAGATTTGTATTTGAATTATTAACGCTTAAGAGGGTGCTTGTTTGGTTGTTGAGTTTTTAGGAGTTGTTGATTTATGTGGTTACTAATTTGAATTTACGTTTTTTTTTTTTTAACATTTCATTTGCTAACACAGGAAGGCTTTTAACTTCATTGATATGTGAATATTTGGATTGGGCTCAATTGAACCACACATTGAAAGTCTTCGTGCCTGAGTGTAATTTGGTATTTTCAGTGCTTATTATTGCTATTTGGATGATTTGTGGTCATTTTATTTGTTTAATATTAATATTCTTTAGTCAATTTCTGTTTGAAATTGCAGCCAAAGGATTCCTGGAAAACTGAATTGCAAGAATTTAGCATCAAGAATGGATATGATCTTAATAGGAATGGAGATGGCGCTCCTTTGCTTTTGGGTGTGCTTGAAGGCTTTTTGAAGTACGAGGTTGGATAAACTCACTGTTTTGTATGTTATACTTCATAAAGTAATTGAATTGTCACTTAAATGCATTAATAACACTATGCCCCTGTTTGACAAAGCTTTTTGAGATATAAGTTGTTGGGCCTATGAATTGGGTTGGTCTAAAAGTGGATAAAAGTTGTGGGTCCAATGAAATTGTAGTTCAAAAAAATAAGTTTGACCAGCTTATAAACTCAAAATTGTCAAACAGGGCTATATGTCATTTTTATTGTGTTTGCTAAATTTATTTAGATTCATTGAGCCAGTCACTGAAATTCAATAATGTAATTTGCTCTCCTGTTAACTTTAAGTTAATCAGTGGATTTGTTTAGACAAATAACAAGCATCTCTTGGAGAGGCCTGGGTAAAAATTTTAGTCTTGATTTCACCATATAAAGTCATACATACTAATGCAGCATTCTTTTCATTGTCAAATTATTTATTCTTAGCTTGTGTCAATTTATTTGTAAGTGTTGCATAGATTTTTAAATATCCATGTTGGATTATATAACCTGCATTTTTATTTTTATTTTTTTTTTGATCGGGTAAAATGAATTATATTGATCAAACTAGAAAATACAAGTACTCCTGGCATACCCAGGTGAAGCAACAATGCAATTACAATGAAAATACAACTACTATGGGCATACCCAAGTAATCAAACAAAGGAAAACGAAACAAAAAAGAACTACATATCAACCCATCGCTAACGACTCATAACAAACCAAAACATTAGGATACAAAGAGAACATCACTTTGTATACGTGAGTTTTGATTAGTCGTACAATACTCTCAACATGGGGTTTCAAATTTTCAAAAACCGTTATATTGATCGAACTAGAAAATACAAGTACTCCGGGCATACCCAGGTGAAGCAACAATGCAGTTACAATGAAAATACAACTACTATGGGCATACCCAAGTAATCAAACAAAGGAAAACAAAACAAAAAAGAAATACATATCAACCCATCGCTAACGACTCATAACAAACCAAAACATTAGGATACAAAGAGAACATCACTTTGTATACGTGAGTTTTGATTAGTCGTATAATACTCTCAACATGAGATTTCAAATTTTCAAAAACCATCATATTCCTAGCCAACCAAATGTAGGAGACGGAACTAGCTAAAGCAATCATTTTAGCTTTGTTGCGCCATGAGGTTCCTCTAGCCTCCTTCTTAATCTACTTAAGTAAACTAGTCATGGTAGTCATGGCTCTTATAATGCCCAACCAAACCTTGATGCTCTTCCAAATACTTGAAGAAAAGGACATTCAAAAAATAGGCGATGACATGTCTCCTCATGTGAAGTCAAATATCCAAGTAATGCAATTTATCTTTAGTGAGTAGTTTGGATTGAGCTCCCCAACCATAACATAAATGAGTGTTTTGGAGTGATGAAATATTTCCAAACATCCGTTGTCCAACACTTAACATTTCCTTTAAGTTGAAAAAATTCATATGCCTTCGATACACAAAACTTTTCCCCATTTATCCATGCAATGTTGCTGAAAATCTGTTGCGGTGCCTCCAAAGTGTGCTGTTCGGTCAGATTTTGTACAAAAAACTACCATAAAACATCCCTAATTTCCAGCAATTTTTTGAAAAGAGGTGAGTGATTTTTCCTAGACAAGACCTCCCAAATACTAGCTCCTTAAAGGTAGAATTGATCTACCCAACCTTGAGGGGTTGCTCAATTGGTCAGGCCTTGGATTTGCTCTCCAATGGTCACTAGTTCGAGTCTCCTTAGAGCCACTGATGTGAGTACCCGACCATAAACTTCAGGGCCCGTGGAATTAGTCGAGGTGGGCGCAAGCTAGCCCGAACATCCACAATTATGTAACAAAAAAGGTAGAATTGATCTACTCAATGAATCCATAAAGTGCCCTTTTTATGATGGATATTCCACAACAGTTTGGCAAGTAATGCTGAATTCCATCTTTTCATGTCTCTAAAGCCCAAATCACCTTCAATCTTCGGTAAGCATATATCCCTTCAAGTGACCAAAGGCTTCTTAGACCCCTAAAGAAAATTACGACAAAGACTTGTGATTCTTGAAATAATTTTAGCTGGAATAGGTAGCAAAGAAAGCCAAAAACATTCGACTCCTTGAAGCACTGCTCTCCCCGCATAGAGCAAAGAAGAGCACGTCCAAGCACTTATATAAGCTGTAATTTTATCCAAAAAAGGAGCATAACAACTGACCTTAAACTTCTCGAAAGCAACTGGAATGCCCAAATATTGAAAAAACATTGTACCCTTCGGAATATTGGTAAGTTCTTGGATTTCCTCGAGTTCCTGCCCGTGTATTCCAGCTGTAAATAAGCTGGACTAAAGGTTGTTCATCCTTAATCCCGATGCATTCCCAAAATTGTTTAAGCAATCCATCAAAATTTCCACTGAAATGACATCTCTCCTTACAAAGAATATTAGATCATCCGCAAAGGTTAAGTGTGTAATCTTCAATGGCCACGTGTAGGCCGTGTGAACACAACAACAGAATGGCAGTCAGCTCGTGAGGCAGACAAGGAAGATTTTGGAGGGCAAGAAAGCAACCAAGAAGGTTGGCAAGAGGAGAAACGCTTTTGTTATTTCTTCATGAAGATCGCCTCTTGGAATATTAGGGGTTTGAATCTACCCCTAAAACAAAATGGAGTTCAGGAATTCATCAAGAAGCACAATATTGATGTTATGGGAGTTTTGGAGACGAAACTCGGGGAACCAAAATTGAATCGTATTATGCAGAAAAAATTCAACGGGTCATTGCAAGCTAACAATTTTTACACACATCAAGCCGGGAGAATTTTGAATTTATGGAATTCTATGAAGGTTTTTTTGGAGGTAGTAGAGAGCACACAGTCATCCATTGTATTGCTACTTGTAAGGTAACCTCATATACCTTTCATGTTAGTTTTGTTTATGCATTCCATACTATTGTTACCCGAAGGCCACTTTGGAGTAGTTTCATGAATTTAAGTGTCTCGTTGCCTTGGTTTGTGCTTGGGGATTTCAATAATATTTTGAAATTTGATGAAAAATGTGATGGTGCGGAGGTGACGCCATATGAATTGAAGAACTTTGCTAATTGTTGCCCTCAAGTTGGTCTCACGGATTTAAGGTCCACAGGTTGCCTTTACACTTGGACCGACAATTCTATGTGGAGTAAGCTCGATAGGGCCATGGTGAATGAAGATTGGATGCAAAATTGTGCTTTTGGTTGTGCTGATTTTTTACCGTCGGGTTGTCTTTTCGATCATTCTCCTTGTATTGTCTCGGTTATGGAGCGGGATGGGAACAATAGGAGGTCATTTAGATTTTCTTCAACATGTGGACGAACCATGAGGAATTTTGGAACTTGTGGGCTGGAATTTCATTGATGGAGGGACTAAACAAATTGTGTTTTGCAAGAAATTGCAAAATTTGAAGGGAGCATTGAAGGCACTTAATGCTAAGCATTTTGAACACATTTCTGCTAGGGCCAACATTGCTAAAATGGAGTTGGAGGATGGTAAAAAAATGTTCCATGATGAGCCCACAAACCAACAATATCAACTTATGGTGGCCGAGTTGAGGCAAAAAGCTTTTGGATTATGTGAAGCGGAACGAAATTTCTACTTTCAACGAGCTAAATGCAATTTCCTTATCAATAGTCATAAGTGTACAAAATTCTTCCATGCTATGGTGAAGCGTAACATAAGAAAGAATTTTATTGCAAAAGTTCTAAAGGTGGATGGGAGCTATACCAAGTTGCAAGATGAAGTTGCCTATGAATTCATCAAATTCTATATTTCTTTACTTGGAACAAGCTGTCTAAATTTGCCCATTGAGCAGAATTTTTTTAATGAGGGTACCTTGGTGACTTTGGAGCAAGATGTTTCTCTAGTTCAGGATATTTCTATTCATGAAGTTAAGGAGGCACTCTTTGATATTGGTGGTGATAAGTCTTCCGGGCCTGATGGTTACTTATCATGTTTTTTCAAGAAAGCATGGGGGATTGTTGGAGTTGATTTTTTTGAAGCCATCAAAGAATTTTTTACATCGGGTTCTCTTCTCAAACAAGTGAATCACACGGTTAATGCCTTGGTTCCAAAATCTAATGACACTGCGATTGTTGGAGACTATAGGTCTCTCTTGTTGTAATGTTTTCTACAAAGTCATCTCGAAGATCCTTGCATCTAGATTGAGGCCTATTTTGGGAAGCATTGTTGACCAAGCCCAATCCACATTTGTTGAAGGTAGGAGTATGATGGAAAACATCCACCTTGCTCAAGAGCTCATGAGGCAATATAATCGAAAACGGGTCGCTCCAAGATGTCTACTTAAGGTTGATCTCCGCAAAGCTTATGACTCAGTTGATTGGGGCTTCTTAAAACAAGTGCTTGAGGGGTTATTCTTTCCTACTAAATTCATCGGTTGCGTTATGGAATGTGTCACTACACCTATTTATTCTGTGGCATTAAATGGTAGCATACACGATTTTTTCAAAGGGAAGAAAGGCAGGCTTAAGGCAAGGTGATCCACTGTCACCATTCTTGTTTGTTTTATGCATTGAATATCTTTCAAGAATGCTTAAGGCGGCCTCAAATGAGAGTGAATTTAACTATCATCCCAAATATGACTCGCTGAAGATTACACACTTAGCTTTTGCGGATGATCCAATGCTCTTTGTAAGGGGAGATGTTATTTCGGTGGAAATTTGGATGGATTGCTTAAACAACTTTGAGAATGCATCAGGATTAAGGATGAACAACCTTAAGTCCAGCTTATTTACAGCTGGAATACACGGGCAAGAACTCGAGGAAATCCAAGAACTTACCAATATTCCAAAGGGTACAATGCCTTTTCAATATTTGGGCATTTCACTTGCTTTCGAGAAGATTAAGGTCAGTTGTTATGCTCCTTTTTTGGGATAAAATTACAGCTTATAAAAGTGTTTGGACGTACTCTTCTTTGTCCTATGCGGGGAAAGTGGTGCTTCAAGGAGTCGAATGTTTTTGGCTTTCTTTGCTACCTACTCCAGCTACAATTATTTCAAGAATCATAAGTCTTTGCCGTAATTTTCTTTGTAGGTCTAAGAAGCCTTTGGTCGCTTGGAGGGATATATGCTTATCGAAGATTGAAGGTGGTTTGGGCTTTATAGACATGAGAAGTAGGAATTCGGCATTACTTGCCAAATTGTTGGGGAATATCCATCATAAAAAGGACACTTTATGGATTCGTTGGGTAGATGAATTCTACCTTAAAGGAGCTAGTATTTGGGAGATCTTCCCTAGGAAAGATCACTCACCTCTTTTCAAAAAATTGCTAGAAATTAGGGATGTTTTATGGCAGTTTTCTGCACAAAATCTGACCGAACAACACATTTTGGAGGCACCGAAACAGATTTTTGGCAACATTGCATGGGGAAAATTTTTGTGTATCGAAGGCGCATTAATTTTTTCGGCCTAAAGGAAATGTTAAGTGTTGGGCAACGGATGTTTGGAAACACTTCATCACTCCAAAAAATTCATTTATGTTATGGTTGGGAGCTCAATCCAAGCTACTCACTCAAGATAAATTGCATTACTTGGATATTGATCGAAATTGCATTTTTTGTGCTTCACATGAGGAGACATGTTATCACCTATTTTTTAAATGTCCTTTTTCTTCAAGTATTTGGAAGATTATCAAGGTTTGGTTGGGCATTACAAGAGTCATTACTACCATGGCTAGTGCATTTAAGTGGATTAAGAAGGAGGCTAGAGGAACCTCATGGCGCAACAAAGCTAAAATGATTGTTTTAGCTAGTTCCGTCTACTACATTTGGTTGGCTAGGAATATGATGGTTTTTGAAAATTTGAAACCCCATGTTGAGAGTATTGTACGACGAATCAAAACACACGTATATAAAGTGATGTTCTCTTTGTATCATATTTTTTGGTTTGTTATGAGTCGTTAGCGATGGTTTGATATGTATTTATTTTTTGTTTAGTTTTCCTTTGTTTGATTACTTGGGTATGTCTATAGTAGTTGTATTTTCATTGTTGCTTCACCCGGAGTACTTGTATTTGATCTTCATTTTACCCGATAAAAAAAAAATGCTGGTTATATAATTGTATAACCGATCAAGAGCTAGGTTTCACATTCCTCCCCATAGATCATAGCTGGAACAAGACATTGTATAATTGACTAGAGGCTGGGGTGAGGATGGGGTTTTGACTGTGGAGATTCTTTTACTGCTTATCTTTTGTTTTTTTATATTTGGGCTTTTTGCATATTTGAACATGAGTTTCTACAAACTGTTTTTAATGGAAACCACGGAGAATGATGAAACTGCACCCAAAATGGCATTTTTGGGAGTTAAATGCATGAATAAACAGGTGAAATGTTTGGACCCTGCATGCACAAATTCAAACAGCAACTATTTTCCTAGTGAACTTTAGATGACAGAGAAATGTAGGAATATAAAAATTTAATTAAAGAGAGCATTGGTAAATAACTTAAAGGACTGTCGGTCTTGAAATAGATAACAAAAACAAACTAGCCTTGTTCCAATCAAATTTGGCATCAGGTAAATGAATCTTTTTTCCCCTAGGTTGAGTTCACTGCTAGATCTACTGGAAGAGTTGCAGCTAATTGATCCTTTGACATGCATTCTTACACCTCATCCTCTTTGTAAACTTGTCAAAACGATATTGCGGTGGCACCCATGCATGTTGAATAAGAGGATTTATGATGCCATTTTATTGATATGATTGTGAAATGTTTTATAGCTGGTTGTGCACTAAACCGTCGGAGCTAAAAAACAGCAAGAGTTGGAAATAAATACACACTGGCAACAAGGATTACAGCATGTTACTAGAGTCTTTTGAATGTTCGAATGAAGCTTTGCAATGTGAAGAGTAGTGCTACCAGCAGATGCTCGTTACAAATATATTTTCGCTAAACAATAAGGTCTTTCTAGGTCTTAAATTCAGATTGCCAATCAAAATTTATTACCACATAGGCATTTTTCTTGTGGGTTTTTTATATTTTAATTGTATTAAACGGTTGTGCTAGTCATTTTAATTTCAGTGGTTTCAAATAAAAGGAAGTTACCATGAAAAATAATTTTGGTTATTCCGATTTTGTTGTTATCCAGGATTCAAGAGGAATTGGTTTTATGTATTGGGTTAATAAGATGCAAATGTACAAATTGAAACGTGGTAGGTACAAGTAACATTTTTGCATAAATTCACTCTAATTGGGAAGAGAGGTTTGAAGGGTTATTGGGATGTAGATGAGGAGTTGTTTCTGTTGAGCATATTTTTATCCCATCAGATGCATATTAAGATGTGGGATTGGGAGACAACTCTTTACAAAGATAGGCGATCTTGTTCCCTTCACCGTATAAAGGCTTCAAGGACCTGGATCTTCAGTGCACTTTTAAGTGAGAAAGGATAGTGCCACAGATGTAAGCACCTTGTGCTTACACGGTAGCATTATATTGATTAAGAAGCAAAAATCCAAATACATTGGAAGATGCTTTGTTATGTGACATATAGTATTCCTTCGGTGTTCTGAGATTGAACGACAGTATTGCTAAGTGGATTACAGTTTTGATTTTACAGAATATGGTCTCAATTCTAAACCTTAGATCTTTTACACCAATTATCAGATAGTATCTGTTTTATGTCCAATTTTGGCAGTGTGTTTCTTATTTTAGTTTTTTATTATCTGTTCTGGATATTATTTTAATTCAAAGTATACTTGACTTTTTAAACACGGTTCTTATCTTTGTCCCTATAGAATTTATCTCAAGGAAGGGGTACTGATAGGAGATTAACTACTTTAGATGCTGAATCTCTATCCAACTTGGAAGCTCGAAACATTCGGAGACCATCTTCATCAACAGTTACTGGGGGTTTACCTCCACTGGGAAGGTTCTCTATTAATAGAGTATTCTTGTTGTCTATTAATTTTCCATTTTCATTTAATAACTTCGAGTTCATGGATGCTCATCTCAGGGCTGTCCCGGCTTCCCAGGCATCTGGTGAGTAGTAAAACTGATATCGGCTATATAGTATCCTGCTAAATTGATTTTGTGACATTGTATTTATCTATCTTAGAGCGAAGAGCTGGGTCATCCATGTCTGGCTATAGGAAAAATGAATATAATTGGAGATACAACAATGATGAGCTTCCAGATGATGTAGTTCGTGCTTCCTCTGCCTTAGAAAACCTTCAGCTGGATAGGAAAGCTCAAAACCTAACCTCTTCTTGGCGGTATGTATCTGATCTCTTTGAATAGATAAGTGTTGCATATTGATTTATTTTCTAGAAAGTTGTAACGACCCAAATGAAACCTTTGGAATCATTATACATGTACCGTAAAAGAGTACTTTCATAATCAAAAGGAAAAAAAAAAAAGATAATGTTTTCTTAACATGTGGATTTAATATTAGTTTTAAGACGAATACAATGAACATTATTAAAATCCTTAACTACATAATTTATTCTTCATTTTTCACCTACGCAAGCACAATCCACCTTCGATTGCCTCGAACCCACCTTTTTAGTTACTTTTAAAAGGTTTAACATATACATATGAGACATAAATCTTAGTAAATGAGTAATAACGTCATCTCATATTTAAATACGGAAAATCATAAAATACATATGGAACACATGGGGAATTAAAATCTGAATTTCGTGGCTATAATTCCCGTGCGTAGCACTACTAAACTTAGGTTTCTTGAACGTATACATATAAGACCCTTGTTATAATCATAATTTGAATTTTCGTATTATCATATTCATAACATAAATTTCCATAATTTAAATAATGAAAGAACAATCCGTACTATTACACTTACCGTTGTATGGAAGAAGATCAAAATAAATCAAAGAAATTGTCTTGTTAGAATTTCACTCCAAAATTCCTTGGACGCCTTGCGTGCTAAACTTTGTAATATGAAAGTGTATGTAGAAGATAAGTTAAAGAAAGAAATGTGTAAAATACAAGCTTAGTCGTGTGTGAGTGTAAGTGATATGAGGGAGTATAAATAGGGGTCTCTAAGGTTTGACTCTATTTCCTATTTTGGTACAAACATTCATTCCCTTATCAATACCACACATTTTTCCATATAGAGTGTAATCAATCACTCAACTAATTACCCAATTAATTGTAATCTTGAATCTAATCAAATCAGGCTGCAATTAGAGCTATCAAATTCTACGTCTCAGCTGGTCAGAGCACCACCATTTGTTGGCCAATTGGTCCATGTTTGAAAAGACTGTTGGTTAAGGATGGTGATCTAGTGAAGCAGCATAACAGCCTATCATCTGCGAAATCTGCTGAAACTAATCGAAACCCAGAGGAAAAACAGCCGGCCCTTCAACATGTAGAAAATCGCCTGCAACTCCTCTCCCAAGAATCCAAAGTTTTAATTTCAAGGTTTTTAGATGGAAGAAGATAATATCGGCCTCACGCCACTCACACAGCCGCTCTTTTAGGCGGCGGCCCTAGGTGGAAACCCTAGCGCCGCCGCCCCAGATCTGCGGGTTCCCGGCCCCTCCTCAGTACACGCGCCTGACAGGTGGATTGGGGTGGGGATTCCGACTTGGGGGGTGGTCTGGGAGGACCACGCGCCGTTCCGGTGGCGCGTGTGTCGGCGCGTGACCTCCACGCGCCAGCGACTGGAAAACAGAAAATGCAGCAGGAGGTCCCCGGTCCAGCCACGGCACCTATTCTGCCATTAGATGTGCCGGTTACACAGAATTTGGGTAAAAAGTTGGGGAATGTTTATGGTTTGGTGTATGATCGTCGTTTTCGAGTTGAGGCGAAGAGTTTGCAATTTCTATTAACAATTTCGGCACTGTTAGGATGACAGAGTGGGGCTCAAAGCTATCGAACTCAATTTGCATGGGGAGGTTTGGCGCATTTTGGATGGTGAACATGGTGGATAAGTTGAAGGCGACTAGCAGATTGATGGGTTTCGCCTCTAAGTTTAACGAATCCCATAGAGCCTTTTTGGCACAACGATGTGCGAACAGTTGTGGCAGGTACTTGATGATAGCACAGTATGGGGAGAGGCGCCGGAAGGGAGTTGTGATGGTACCGGAGGGCATGAATGGAGAAGGATGGGCATTGATCTCGCGGGTGTTTCAGGCCGTTGTTGATTCATTTGTCGCTGGTGATAAGGCCAAACGTCGAATTGTAGATGATAGAATGCGACAGGGAAGGACGTATGCAGGAGTTGTGGCAAACTCACAGGCTTCACAGAATGTCGATCAACGGGTGTTGCTGCGGAAGGAAGGGGCGGTTGGTGGGAGTAACCCTAATTTAATGAGGCACTCGGGGGTGGAGGCAAGTGTTGGAGGAACCCATGGAGGGCTTTGGAGGTCTGCTGAAATAAGGGCACGCATCCAGGCATTGAAAGG